GTGAGAAGATACACATGTACGTGTAAGCCACCCGCTCTATGACACGCTGTCATTGCAGCCCTAGGCGACCGATACAAGGGGGCAGGAGGGCCCACATCTTCCTGGTTGAGATCTCTGGTCAAGGGTGGATGTCACCCCCCGGGAGGCACAGCAGAGGGCAGTGGTGCCCTGTGACTGTGCACAGCCGGCCTCTGGTCAGCCTGGGGCTCCGGCTTAGTTAATGGAAGAGTCAGAGCCGTAAACTCCAAGGTCCAGGCTTTTCATTGGGAAAACAACAACTTTGCTTTGAAGTGTCTGTATAAGTACCAATCAAACTGGCCTCTAGAAAAGTAAATGAGATACTGTTTAAAAGGAGAAATCAAGGGAAGAAATCAGGCATTTGATGTGCCTGACGTCTAACTCCCTCTAGTTCAATGCTGATTTATGGTTATTTTGTGGAGTCTAGGTTTGAGAGTTCACTCATGGAGCCTGGACCCTCGCCTCAGCTGTCGGGAGGCTCGAGCCCCTGAGGCTTTCTGGCCACACTTGCCAGCGAGCCTGAGATAATGCAGCTGAGCACAGAGCTGGTCTGTTTCCTACTGACGTCAAGGATACTTCAGTCTTCCAAGAGCCGCGATTAGGACCTTATCTCCACAGTCCATTCTCAGCACAGTTATGGAACCCAAACTATCCTCTGTTCCTCGGGAGGCTCTTCGGAATGGAAACTTAACTAATGTGGCGAGTGGGGGGCTGGTGCCTCCTCCTGCACTGCACCCTCATTAGGATGCTTCACTGCAAATCCGTGGCAGATGAGGATAGTCCCACAGAGGCTCCTTCCCCTGTTTGTATATTCATTAAACTTTTCTCATATTTCAGGGTTTCCTTTCTGAGAACCTCTGTGTGTGTGTGTGTGTTTTACTTTCATCAAACCAGAACACCTTTAAAGGATCAAAATAATTTTCTTTATAATTACCAAATATTAGATAGAAATTGCAACCTTTTTTTACTCTTGAGCGTTGGAAGTCATGTGTTCCAGGCAGGGTCTGGAGATGAACATACAGGCAAGTGATCAAGATAATGATAAAAAAGGGTACATGTGAATCTAAAACATTTCACTGAACAAATATTCATAAATGTCTGTGTGTGACCACACAGTGACCACAAGTAAACGAACCTAACTGGACAGAGAACCAGCCCAAACGAGCATCTCCTCCGGGCTATGTAGTAGTCTACTTGACTCATAAGAAAAACAAGAAAGTAGCTCACACCTCACCCACAAAGCAAAATGACAAGAATTAGAAAAATTATCTGTGAAACGTCTGCTTATATTTTATATTAATAAAGGCAGATAAGGGGTTGTGGTCAAAATACATATAAAGACATAAGCATTATTTTTTTGAGTCTTTTGGAAAATAGTTTATAAGATGCTTGAAAGGTAAACCTGATCTTCAAAAAGCTATTTGTGAGTTCATATTCCCTTGGACTTACATGGCTTTGACCAACATTTGACCTAGGGCAGAACTCCCTAAAATGAGTTCCCTGGAAGTCTAATTCTCTGGAATACTCAGATTTCTTATGAAAAAAGGTTTGATGCTCAAATGTTTGTGATATTAAGCATACTTTTAATTTCTGTGAAATGCCTTAACATCTACAAAATGACCACTGGCTGCTCCCAAGTGAACCCTGGCTCACTGAAAAGCCCCAAATCTTATTCTCTGACAGTCACAGTGAAAAAGAATACCATGGGACCGCTTTCAAACTTAGCCAATCCTAAACGCGCTAGCCTGCCTCGCCTGTTCCTGTCCCTGGGAACCACAGTAAAAGTACTTGCCCAGAGTTCTGCTCTCTCTCTGCCTCGTGACCCACCTGGTGCTTCCCTTGAGTGGCCCCGTGTGGCACACTGTGTTCTCCCCAGGGAACCGTGAGTATAGTAAAACCCTTTCTGGTTTCTCTCTTTGATCTGCTTCTGGCCTCACTATCTCTCACCCAATGTAATATGGTTAAAACAAAGTGTAGATTAGGACAAATCGGACATACTTCTTTATTGCAGTACTCTCAGAAATGTTAATATGTAAACGTGCATTCTAAATGTTCAGTGTCAAACTTACTCGGCTTTGGATTTTTTTTTTTTTTGAGCAGTATATCTTACAGACTAGCATTTCTGGGATCCCCTTTGGGAAGCACTAGTCTGGAGAGATACCGATTATCTGTCTAGGCAACTTGACTTGTCAGTATTTTCTGACGATCAAAATGCAGACATCATTGTGAAATAAAATCAAACATTATAGTTTAGGGAAAGCTCAACTCCCACGTGAAATTTAACCTATAGACTCATCAAGGACCTGGCACAAAGACGCTGAATGGTAATATCTGAGTAAACTCACATAGTTTGTGGAGTCCATACATTTTAAAATTCATGTATCTTTTATGCTTCCTAATCTTTGAATAAAACTTTTGGGCATAGGACAGGTGGCTACTTAGTGTCTTCTCGTGCATCTTCATTAAGCACCTCAAACTCAGTCTCCCCAAGCTGAACCAGCTGTTGCATCTCCATTCTACTTTCCCCAAGTGACATTTCCATCTGCCCATTCACTCATATCAGAAACCCAGAAATCCATCCATCCCTTCCTTGTCCTTTACAGAGTACCCACCCATGGCCCATTAGCCACTACTGTTTTTATGTTTAATAACACATCTATCCTCTCCATCTCCAACAGTGGTCCTAGTCCAGACCCTCATCCTCTCATAGCACAGTCCTCCTCATGGTGTCCCGATTGCTCTTCCTTTCCCTAATCTTGCCCCTCCCATCCAAGTCTGTCCTTCGTACTGATACCATTGTGTTTTTTCTAAAGTGCATTTCTGATTATGTTATTCTCTTTCTGTTAACTACCTGCCAATTGATTTGCCATCATGCTCTACAAAATAACCTCCAAACTCTTTACTTTGCCGTAATCTTTTTTCTATGATCTCATCTGTGCTTGCTTGCAATCTTCTCTGGGCACCAACCTCTAGCACAAAGAATAACTCAGTCACATTAACCTGGCGGCCCTGCCCCCAACACGGCAAGCTGTGATATGTCGTGGCGTTCATTACCTCTGGCCTGGGATTCCCTTACTCGCACATCAGCTATCCAACAAATACCTCCTCATTTTTCAAGACCAAGCTCAAGAGGCTCTTTGTCAATGAAACCTGTCCTGATTCCTTTCTTATCCCCCAACATTATACACTCTACAGAGTTTTATTATACTTCTTTGTTCACATTTTCCCCTACAAAACAGTTAATTCCTAGAGTTAAGACTGCATATTACTCATCTTCAAATATCCAGAGTCTGACATGGCACCTGATACACTGAGGAGTGTTTACGAATGCTTATTTGTAAAGGACTATCATTTCCTTTTGCACAGAACATAATACAAACTATACACTGCATGTTCCTGACTTTACACCATGTGTGAGGATGACTGAGAGGTTGCTTCCTCTAAATGAATCACATGGTACTGCCTCCTCCTTTCCAGTATGATTGGAAAGTAAAGAAGAAACACATATTTCTCTTTGGATATTTTCCTCAAATCATCCTATAACAGAGCAGTGGATTCTCATCTTTTCCCCCACTGTCTCAAAACCCCAATCATTATGAATATTTTTGGCAACCAAGAAAAATGATCTCCGACCCCGACTTTT